GAACACTCCCCCATCCAATCAGAGCACAGCCAACCCCCCATCCAATCAGAGCACAGCCAAGCTCCTTAGCCAATCAGAACACACCTCCACCCAATCAGAACACAGCCAAGCTCCCACCCAATCAGCTCAAACCCCACTGGCAGTTAAAAGGAAGAAACAGCTGCGATCACACACACTATTCCCAGAAGCAGGAAGCTGATGGGAACAGTAGATTGAAGCCAGATTCAATAATACTTGGAAAGACATTGGTGACAATTAACTTAATATTGCTATATACACTAATGATGACCAAGTGTAAATCTCCTAATAATAAGAAACCAATTTAGAAGTGCATTCTGGTGACTGCTGATGATGACCACAGAACTTTGTTTTCTTGGAGTTCCTCTGTTTATTTCAATCTTCCATATTTAGAGACAAATGGCTGTTTATAGTTTGCAAAATTATAATTGTATTGACAATCTTTTTTCCATTTTATTTGCATGTAGAAGAGGTTTTTGTTGATCCTCTTCAAAGTTGTATAATTTCTATATTTCAGAATATGTTGTGTGAATCTCAAATATAGCATTTATTTAGGTTGTACTGAGCAAATATAAAGTGGCTATTTATGCTCATACATAGAGACAGAACTGGAAACAATATCTGAAGTGAATGACTAAGCCTTGCAAAAGTTGTAACTTTTTTTTAAATGTTGCATTATATACATCTCTTTCCATGTTTTAGTCAGAACTAGCATTTATTTGGTGGATCTCTTATTGTCAATCACTAACCTATCATTTCAGTCTCTCTTCTTTCTTTCCACTTGAAAAAAAGATTTTGAGAATTTGAGAAGAGGAACCAGAACTAGTTTTTACACAATGTATTTTTTATTCCTGTTCTGCTTTGCTCTAAACAAAAAAGCAAATAGTATATCATGTTTTTGTTAACAGATGTTAATCATTTTTAAAGAGAAACAAATATAAAAGTTTGTATATAAATATTAAATATACTTGCACACATATCTTTCTCTTTTTCCGTTTGGAAGGTCAGTCCTATGAAATTCGGCTGTTAGATAATCGAAAAATGGGAGATATGCCTGAAATCAATGGGAAACTCATAAAGGTATGTTGGTAGCTCAACCTTGACTCTTGTTTCTTAGAAATTCTTATTTTCTCTCCAGTAACATTTTGTTGCTCTGGGTACAAATGCCGCTATGGGAGTATGGAGGAAGATTCTGATATATTCTGATCTGCAGGAACAGGTTTGGGAAGAGAATGTTCTTCTTCCAGTATTTCTTCCTGATAACTTTATCAGGAGGAGAAAATAACGTTGAAAGCAGCTGCAGGAATGTGATTACATAGCTCTTTTTGTTAATACTTTGAAGAATTTCTTAGTCAAAATAATATTCAAAGCTTATTTTAAGCTTTTTGAGAAATAAGTGATAAATGGAATGATAATTTTAAAAAAACTAGGAACTTTTGTAAATGTCTATACAATGGTTTAGTGTGAAAGATGATACTAAGTCTGGAGTCTAGTAATGTTTTCCAGTTTGTATCTGTTCATAAAATCGGATTTTTTAAAATATAACTTTCATTGAAGATATTTATATTAATAAAAGATAAACACAAGAACATATAACAGAGTTAGAAAAAGATAAAAAGTGTAAGAAACAGAACAAATAAAGAAAAAGATAATTAAAGAAGCAATTGAATATTCTTTATAGCAATTATAAAACAGCTTATTATCCTTTCTCCTCTAAGATTACATCAGATAATTCCCTCTATCTCATATTCATAATCTTTCTGTCCCTTTTTAATAACAGATTCAGAAATAATTTCATTTTTTCCATTTTCAGCATAAAGTCTATAAAAAATTTCTAGTTTTTTGCAAACACTTTTTATAAAAGTACTTGTTCTATTTCTGATCAAACAGGTCAATTTTGCCATTTGTGCACATTCTGCCATCTTTACACTCCCATTTCTCAATTGTGGGTATTTCAGTATTTCTCAAACATTGTGCATAAAATAAATTTGCTTTTACTGTATACAAAACAAATAATTTATGAGTCTTTTCTAACCGACTACCTATAAATCCCAATAGAAAAATATTTTTATTTGTTTAAAACCTTTATTTAGTTGTCCATCTTTAGTTGAACTTCCAAATTCTGGTTGGAAAATTGGAATTTTTTCCTGAAGTACAAGTTTTGTTTTATTCTTTGTTTTCTGAATTACCTGATACAAATGTGTTCATTACACAGTAACCAAGTAATATTCAGTGTGCGGTCAGCTATAATCTTCCCTGATATGTTGATGTCCAGATGGGTTGGGACTACACTTCCAAGAATTCCAGCTGACTCAAAGTAGCCCAGTGTATATTAAGGGCACCAGGTCAGGGAAAAGAAAGTAACATTGATTCATAGATTAAATTATGAATGCCTGAGCATTTAAATCTGGTCATTGCAGCTGTAAATATTCATTGCTTTATTGTATAAAAAACAGTTCCTTTGTCTCCTGGTAAATTGAGAAGCTAATTTTTAACTATTATAATGTAACTGAAACCTGTAAATTAGGGTTAGATTATAGTAAATAATTTAATATATGTCTTAGAGCCTATGAATTTATTTTAGTTGAGCTATAAGATAATGTTTCCATTCTGGTCCGCATATAAATCGATGTTCTCTGGATTATTTTTCTCTGATGGAAAAGATTCTATACTTGTAATTATCATAGTGTGTTGTGTGGAAGCCATATGAAAGAAGTTTGTACCTTTATATAAATTTATATCTTCAGGTAAAAAGAGATGGTCTTATTTTGTTGGACTCACCCAATTTTTAAAAAATTGAGTGATGAAGAATTGGCAACCTTGACTACATTATTATAACTAAATTATCATTTGTATTCTATTTTTACTGGGGGGAAGTTGATATTTTGTCTTTTATATTAGAGTATCATAAGAGTAGTATTCCATGACAGAAGATTACAATATACTGAGCATCAGCAGCTAGAAGGCTGGAAGTGGAATCGCCCTGGAGACCGATTACTTGATTTAGGTAAAATCATGAATTAAGTTAATGTCTTCATAAAAATAAACTGAGAACTTCATTACTATGAAATAGTAAAATTTAAACACCTGGTTTAAATACTATATCGTACACTGAATTCTGTAAATTAAAGTTCCATTTTGGAAGTTCCTATTTAAAATCCATTATAAAAATTAATAGACTTACTGCAAGACCTAAGAATAAAACTGAAAAAAGAAAGGATTTATGTATTTAAATAACACTTCTATTTTTGTTGTTTTAAAACATTGATTTCATTGTTTGATTTTTTTTTGATATTTTTTCTTTATTTTATAGATATTCCTTTGTCTGTTGGAGTAATTGATGTAAAAACAAATCCAAGCCAACTCAATGCAGTTGAGTTTTTGTGGGATCCTGGAAAACGCACATCTGCCTTTATTCAGGTTTGAAATTACTATTTGAAATAGGTTCTCAGAAGGGTAACTCTTTTAAAGTAGTGGGTGACATTTTTTCTATTGAGATTTGGACCACTCTTACCCTAGTAGTATTCTAGGGCAGGGGTCCCCAACCCCTGTTCCTTCGACCAGCACCGGTCCGTGTTATACTAGTGAAGTCCCATCCACTGGATGCAGGCAGCAAACGAAACCACACCCCCTCTGGTCTGTGGAAAAATCTTTCTCCACAGAACTGGTCCCTGGTGCTCAAAAGGTTGGGGGCCTCTGCTCTAGGGAATCTTAAATCCAGCTAGAGGATGCATTCAAGCAATACATTATGGTAAAAATATGTTTTCCTCTTGCTTGTCCTTGTCATTTGGCATTCAGAAGTTTAATGCTTCTAAATCTTGAGTTCCATTTTTTAGTCTGGATAATCTGCAGTGGCTTTATTTTTTATATATATATACTAATTGCTTGGGATAGATCACGGGTCGGCAACCCGCGACTCCGGAGCTACATGCGGCTCTTTGGGCCTTCTCCTGCGGCTCCGGAGTTTCCTCCGCCATTTGCAGAGAGAGAGACAGAGAGGCACTTGTGCTTCCCTTTTCTCTCTCTCTCTCTCATGTGGACTTGCCCCCTCGTGGGGCTCCTGATTGGCCCTGCGCCCAGGCACCCCACCCCCTGGGAGAAGTGCAGCCAGGAAGTCCCTTTCCCAGGTTGGCCCTGTCCGAGGCGCACGTGGCCAGGGAGATGCGCAGGGCAGTCCCGGGATCCCCCCTTGGAACAGCCTGCTAAGCCTCCGCTGAGCAGGCCAACCCTCCTGCAAGCTGCGGCCCCAGGAAAGGGGGCTGCCTCATTTAGGCTCAGCATTGCTCTGTCTCCCGAGCCCTGAAGGCGCACGGCTCGCTTTGAACAGAAACGGCCCCCCTGAAGCCCACCGGGAGATGGGAGGGGAGGCGACGGCAGCTGCTCTCTCAAGGGACCTCTCGCCAGCCCGGTGGATCTGCTGGGGCTGGCGATCCCCGCCCGGGAAAGGGAGGTAGGCAACAAGCGCCGGATCCCCCACAGGGGAAGCTTGCTCCATCCTTCCTTTCCTTTCAGGTGCTGTTTCTGAAAAGAGGGGGCGTACCCAACTGGAGCGGGAGGACCCCTCCCCAGCCCATCCCCACACCTGCTGGGGTCCCACGGCTTCCTGGGGAGCCTGGCTCGGGGCTGGGGGGAGAGGAAGCCGGGCGCTGTAGAGCCCCAGAGCCGGAGGAAAGAAGGGCCGCCTGGAAGGATCGGTGCATGTTGGCCGGGGGAGTTCCTCTCCTTGGGGCAGGGGGTCCTGGGAGCCTGGCTCCCCCCACGGCCCGGTGCTGGGCTTTCCCCCCCCCCGAGTATCCTGCAGGCTGGTTTGCAGGGGGGACTGTGGTGGGGTCTCCAGATGGGCAGGGCAGGGAATTGGGCCTGGGCTGGCTCTTCTGTAAGACCCCGGGCCGGGTATCCCAGAAAGCTGTGGCGCCTCCAAGTCCGTTGGTTTACCAGCGAGCCACCGCCTCCTCGTCGTCGTCTCCTGCCCTTGCTGCATCTCCTGTGGAGACGCGTTTGCGTCTCTATGTGTCTCTCTCTGCCACTCAAAGCCATCCTGCAGCTTGATCCTTGAAGCGGTTTCAAGGCCTCTTCATTGCCAAGCATCCCCATGGAAGTCGATGGAGTCCGCGGCGACTCGAAAGGCCAGGGGACCCACCTGGCTGAGTTTGGACAAAAGATCAGACAAGGTCCCGTTCCAACCATTGCTACTTTCGCCAGGAGAGACCCGCACTAATCAATCCTCCTGCTCATTGATCTGTGTTGATGCCAAAGCCAAGGAGGCGAAGGTGGTGGCTCGCCGGTAAAACCAACGGACTTGGAAGCGCTGCGGCTGGCTTTTCGAGTCACCGCGGACTTCCATTGACTTCCATGGGGACGCCTGGCAATGAAGGGGCCGATTGAAATTGCTTCAATGATCGAGCTGCAGGATGGCTTTGAGTGGGAAAGAGAGACACAGAGAGACACAAACGCGTTTCCACAGGAGATGCAGCAAGGGCAGGAAACGAGGAGGAGTCAGCTATGTCTGTGCACAAGCCTCGAAAGCTTTCTTCCTCTCCCTGATCTTGCCTTTCTTGCTCTTGCTGGGTTTCCTCAACCTCCACCCCGTTTTATTTTAATCCCACCACCGCCTCCCTCTTTTGCAAAGTTGACATTCCGGGGACTTGGAGCTCACTTCGCTTTTGAAGTCACTTGGCGAAGTTTGAAGGAGAGGCCGCCTGCTCCCACCTCCTGTGGAGCAAAACTGCTGCTTCCTCGCCCTCCCAGTGAAAGAACCCCAGAGAGCTGGAAGAAATCATTTCTCCCACTTTCCGCTTCTCATCCTCTCTTTTCCGAGCACCCCTCCCAGAGCGAGCCAGAAGCCTCAACTCCAGCCTCCTGCAGCAGGCTGAGATAGGCGAGCCCGAGCGGCCGTTTGCTGCCGCCTCGGAAGATTTGCCGCAGCAGCTCCTTCTCCCCGTCGGCCTCCTCCTCCACTCCCTGGGAACCTTCACGCCAAAAGGCGGAAAGAAGAAAGTCCCAGAGAGGGAGAGTGCGGGGAGGGGAGGAGAAGCCAGGATGGCAGAGCCGTCCATACCAGAGCTGGATGGGGGGGGGCAGGGCCGGTGCATATCTCGTCTTAAGCTCCACTCTTCAATCAAGCCCCTTGTTTTGTGTGTGCGCGCACACGCACACACACATTTTGCAGCTCCCAGGTTTTTTGTGTGTGAGGGAAATGGGTCCAAGTGGCTCTTTCACTGTTTCAGGTTGCTGACCCCTGGGATAGATGATAACAGTGATTTATTTTTCTGTGGCAACAGTTTCTATTTTAATACAAAAATGTTCTGTATAAATCTAAAATGTCTGTTAAAGCCAGAGAAACAGAATGTATCTTTGCATGTTACTTTTGTTTGCTTTTATTTTTTCCCCCAGGTACATTGTATCAGCACAGAATTTACACCTCGTAAACATGGAGGTGAAAAAGGAGTTCCATTTAGAATACAGGTTGACACTTTTAAACAATCAGAAAATGGAGAGTACACTGATCATCTGCATTCAGCCAGCTGTCAAATCAAAGTGTTCAAAGTAAGAAAGTTAAATACATTTTTGGGAGTGGCATAAAACTGGCAATATGGAATTTATTTTTTTACTAATTAACTTCCTTCCTTCCTTCCTTCCTTCCTTCCTTCCTTCCTTCCTTCCTTCCTTCCTTCCTTCCTTCCTTCCTTCCTTCCTTCATAATTTTATTTTTAGCCAAAAGGGGCAGACAGAAAACAAAAAACAGATAGAGAAAAGATGGAGAAGCGAACTGCCCATGAAAAGGAAAAATATCAGTCTTCATACGATACTACAATTCTCTCTGAGGTAAGATAATGAAATGTTTTATTTGTTAAGAGAAATAATGCAAAGTACACCTGGCCTGCTTTAAGCAATAAGTTAGGCTTCAAAGGGTGGGGCTTAAGCAGAATATATGTAAAGGCAAAATTTATTTGGCAGTTGTAGATCACAATGAAATAGAAGACCTATAAGATTTAGGATCAAGAAAATAGGTACTCTGTTAAAGCATTTAGTTTTACTCATGGCTATCTCATGTACATATCTGAAAACCCAGTGTTAAAAATATTGTGTTAGGATTTGTTTTTTCCTTGTCAGTTTGGACCTACAATTGTATTTAAAAGTTAATGGATTCATGGGCAGAGCCTCACTGGCCTTTTGTATTTCTTTTTATTTAAACACCAGTGAGTTTTCTATAGCTTTCTAAAGATTGCAGATGTTTTTAAAAGGCTTTAAAAATTTTTCCTCACTGTATAATGAAAAGAAATTGATCCACATCTTTGGTGTTTGTCCAGATGAGGCTTGAGCCTATAATTGAAGATGCAGTTGAACATGAGCAGAAAAAGTCCAGCAAGCGGACTTTGCCAGCAGACTACGGTGATTCTCTGGCAAAGCGAGGCAGTGTAAGGGACTTCTGCTTACTTTTCATTGTGCAAGTTATCTTGTGCAGTGTTAGATATAGGACCAATTTCTATCATCCATGATCGAAAACAAAGATTTTTCCTGGGCTGGCTTAATTTTATTCACTTTTGCTTACTGCAAATTATTTCATACTTATTTCCTAGAGAGAAATGCTTCCTAAATCTAACACCTAAGTAAAATGTTAGGCCTGTAACACTTATAAAAATCAAGAGCTGTAGTTTACACATGAAATGGCTATGTTGAATAATAAATTGTGTTCTTGAAAGCCAATTTCTGATATGCAATTAATGAAATCAGATATAGCAGTAATTAATTAGTTGAGATGTATATTTCCTTATTTTGGCTTGCATGTTTTAGCAAACTGTTTCATCAAAATGATTGCAGTAAAGATCCTCTTGCCTTTTTGATTATACATTTTCCATTTCTTGGGGTTTTTTAATGTAAGAACTATAAAAAATTCTTATACTTTGTTTGTATGTATGCTTGTTTGTATGTACATTTTTTCACATGTACTGGATGGTACTAGTATAGTCCTCTTCTACTTATAATAAAGGGGATTGTCTAAGAGAGTTAGAATGGAGGCTGCTACCTTTTAAGAATCAGTCTGCCTGAATAACTGGTCTTTTTATTGTGCTTGCAGTCTTTAGTAAGAATAGTACTAAGCATAGGTTCCCAAATCCTCTCTACTAGGCCCATATACATATTCCTGTAGCATGCCAATCCTGTTCATCCTTAAAGAGACTAATGCTAGAGTGCTGCTGTTGTTTTATATGATACCAGCTGCAGTTCCTCGTCAATATGTTATAATAAAAACAATTCCACAATCTTATCTTTTAAAAACATATATTTTTTTTAATTCCACTATTCCTTGAAGGAGATCAAGATGACTATTTTCACCCACTGAATCTTGGTAATAGTTCTGTTACATAGCTTGAATTGAAATTTGATGAGTAAGATTTTTCACTGACCGTAATGGTTGTTAAATTGAATCCTGAGTTCAACACATAATACTTTTGTTTGACAAGGGCTCTGCCAAAGTATTCTCTCCCTAGATTATGATATGTTTTGTGATGAACGGCAATTCTCTTAATTGGATACGGCCAAGAATTCCGAGCTATTATTTATGAGGAAATCAGCAAATTCTCTCCCATACACAGAGAACAGTCAGGTTTTTACAAAGGGCACGTGATTTCAGTTTAGCTGCTTTGCTCATTTGATATAAAGCATTTTGATTGATGAGTTTAATAAAAAGATGTGGCCAGGGATTAGTGTATCCTTGTGATGGTTTTTATTGATTTGCCTTATTAATATGCCAACTAGAGCAAGCTACTAAAAGCTACTATCCTAGCTTTTAGGATAGTAAAATCAAATCCATGTACATAGACAACAAAACTAAAAATAAAAGAGAAGCTCTTTTTCATAGGTCTGCTTTTGAATCCCGCGGGCTTTGTATTTATAAAGAAGTTAAAATTTCCCATGTTCTTAACATATTCCTTCTTTTCCTATAGCTTTAGCATGGATGCTTTCTGAGATGAGGATTGTTGTAGTCAGATAATTATAGACTGCTTCATTAAGTACAAGGAATTGCAAATCTGCCTTGCCTAAGATAGCCAACAGTAAAAGCCCACCTGGGAAGTAATGAGCAATTTGCAAAGCTTTGCCTAGTCAAATGTGTTCTCCCAAGTGTAACTTTTCAACAAGGTAGGGAAAGCATGCAGAGCATGGCTTCTGGAATTCTTTCCAATCCCTTAATAATAGCAACACTGTGGGTCATGTGACCAGGGGAGGAAGAGGGAGGAGGTTTAGAATCAAGGAGTTGGCAATATTCTAAACCACACCATCTGCCTCTTCCACAGGGATATATGGGAGATTTTTTCCAGGATTTCTTTTCCTGCAAATTCTCATCAAGTCCAACCAGTTTTTGAATTAATTTTTATTTTGCCAGCTTTTGTCCCCACACTGGATTTGGTTTTGTTCTGTTCTGTTCAGCATTTGGAGAGTTGTTTTCTTATTAACAATTGGATCCCCATTCACCTTATTTCTTTCCAATACTCTGATGAATTGGAAAGAATAAAAGTCTTAAATGCTATTAATGGATTTAAATGTTTTTATTAACTTCAATTTTTAAATGAATAGTGTTAAAGATAAGGGTAGTTTTATAATAATAAATGATAAATTGGCATGGAAAGAAAAAACTTTAATCATGGGAAAAATAAGTATTAACTAAAAATTAAAGGTTTTTTTCCTCCAATGCATAGAATTGAGCAGTTTATTTTAATGGGAGCCCTATTGTACATATCTGCCATAATCTACATAGTATATACTATAACTTAAAATGTTATACATTTAATTTACTGTAATTGTCCTTTAACAGTATAATAAATATAAAATATAAGCTCTACTTTTCAAAGTGGATTTAATGATATTTTTTCATAACTCTCAGTTCTAATTTTATGTTAAATCAATGAAACTTTAAGAAGCATATCAAAAAATGAGCAAGCAGAGCCTTTGTAAGAAGTAATATAAATGCTTACAATAAGTTGTAAATAACTGAAACATATATTTACACTGTCTGAAATACATAACTTATTCTTGCTCATCAGAAATGAACAAAGAGCTGTCAATACTATAATTCTCTGCTATCAGTAATGTATTTATGTTTTATTTTGTCACCATTTTTCATTGCTGAGGAGCAAGTAGGTTTTATATATAGAGAGATGACAAGATAGATAGAGTATTATTTATTCAGTAGTCATAGCAGTACGATACACTCCACTGGTCTTTCAAAATTTTCTGCTGAAAATGATGTTGCTGTTTCTTTAATTCAGCAAAAGGAAACCAGTACAGATATAAATTCCAGTTCCCTTTGTTAGTGGTTTATGAGATTTGGAATCCAAAAAAGATATCCTGAGAAAATATGTGAGAAGAAGAGTAATAATAACTTTCAGGAGTTGCAATATCTGTTCCTGATATAACACTGTACTGATATTGCAAGATTAATTACATGTTTTGCATGGTTCTCTATACATCTACATCACATCCACCACTAACTGTAATCCATCAATTCACTTTGTAAAGTGGTGCGTAATCTCCATTTTTGCCATCTCAGGCAAACTGCTTATCATCAAGTCATAGTTTGAAGCAAATTGCTCTGAGGTGCACACATAGCATTTGCTAGCAACTCCTTAAACATGTGGCTTTTCCCAAAATTCCACTGGAGCTGTGAATGGCAGCTTCAGGATCTTGGAGAGGCAGCTGCTTTAAGGAGTTACAGACAGGTAGTACCAATTAATCTGAAGCTCTGTGTGGTTTAGATGAATTTCAAAGATTCACAGTGTTGCAGTCTCATTGTATAATATATTTTTCCCTTCTCATTGAAGATTATAAGAATTTTTATTACTAATGCACATATACTTAGTTTCTTGGTACTTTTCCACAGAGTCCACTTGCATTTAAAATAATCAGTAATTTAATCTAACAAAGTTTCCAATTACATTTTAATCATATAGGGCTAAAAGAAGACATGACATCTGAGAATTTTTTTTAGTTCATATAGTAAGTTGATATCAGAATGCTTAAGATTATTTGTTGTAAAGTGACAATTGTGCTTTCTCATTATTACTTTTTCCACAGATACTATCACTAATTCATAGTACTTTGTACAGAATTTAAATATAGAGCTTTGATTTTTTTTTGTCAAATAGAATTCCTTTGATAGCTAAATATGAGAGAAACAAGTCTGTGTATGAGAATAAAGGCATTACTAACCAAAGATCCTATAAATGCATGCACAGAAAATAAAGGATGAATATTATTTAATAACGTGAGGATTGAAACTTATAAAAGTTAATACCAGAGCTAAATTCTTATAATGTAATCCTAGTGGTAATGATTAAACTGCTGTTTAATATTTTTCTTTATTCTAGTGTTCACCATGGCCTGATACACCTGCATTTGTGAATAGTAGCCCTACTCCAACGCCAGCTTTTACTTCTTCTCCACATACTACTTACAGTGTCCCAGACAGGTATATTTGACTTCTAAGCTGATATGCCATATTAAATCAAGATTGAAGTGCGGCATAATATTAAATGTTATGGCAAAAATAAAATTGCCAATCAGAAATTTCTACATAATTAACATGAAAGCATTCTTTGATTTAAATGTACGGTACTCCTTTACTTCATTATATGATACGTTGCATCACTGAAATAACGAGGAAATAAGATGGGGAGCTCCTGGCTAATTAAACTTTTACGAATATCAAAACTTGCAAGATTTCTTGCTACATTATGAAAATGAAGATTAAAACAGTCTTATTAATAACCTGTAATAGGACTTGGAGGCAAATAGTACGCCCTATCTGATCCTGCTAGATCTTTTACTGGCATTCTTTAAAAGATCATGGTATTGTTATGGGCTTTCTGCAGGGTTTGGAGATTTGAGACAGTGCTTTACAGTTGTTCCTGTCATTTCCTAAGTGGGCAATTCCAGTCAGTATTGTTTAGGAAAAATAGATCAAGCCCTTAGGCGCTTTAGTATGGTGTGCCTTAGGCTTGACTCCCATCTCTCATTTGTTTAGCATCCATATGGCACTTCTTCATGAATTTTGGTTTAGACATCATTATGCTGATACTGCTCATTTTATCTGCTAGGCTCAGATGGAAGTGTGTGTGTATGTGTATGTGTGTGTGTCTGTGTAAGAGAGAGAGAGAGAGAGATCTCAAACTGGAATCTGAACACTCTGAGGGACTGGACAGGCTTAAGCAGACTGTTGAATCCTAGCACCAGTTATTGCTGGTGCAGAAACTTGCTGATACAATGGATATTCCCTATATAGCTCTTGACAGGTAAGGGATGATGCATAATCTCAGTTTTTTTCCTGACTCACAGCTCCTCTTAAAGAAATTGTGGGAAGCCATGGTCAGAGAGTCTTTGGTCAGCTTCATTAAATAAAGCAATTTCCCCCATTCTTGGACCAAGAAGCAATGACTTACACACTTGTCAGCTTAGCTAGATTATTGCAATTCATTGTGCCCTTGAAGTCAGTTCAGAATTTGCAACAGGTAAGGAATTAACAGGCCACTTACTGACTAATTTATCAGGATTTCCCTAATATTGCAGAGGTTGCATTGCTAACTAGTTGCTTCAAGATATCCTGTTAAAGGTACCTAAAGCCTATTATGGTTTGCACCCTTATTTTTGAGAACATATTCTGGTAGAATCTGCCCATCTTATCCAGATACCTTTTTTTAAATGGTGATGGCATTCCAATAAGAAAACCAGCCTATTAGTAACTAGATGTTACAGATAGTCCTTGACTTTTTTATTATTATTATTAAAAGTTTTTGGTTTTTTTTTCAAAGTTAAACTATAAATTCAAAAAGGGGAACAAGACAAAAAAATGTGCATATAAACAAAAGAACAAGCATATACAATGATTGAGCGGTGTGGTGGCCTAGTGGTGGAGCACTTGCTTCACAAATTAGGAGGCTGTTAAATTGGAACCTAGGTAGCGACAAGCACAAAGAAACTATCTGCTGTAAGCTGTAGGCATCAATAAGGGCATCCAACCAGTAAACAGTCAGCTGCATTCAGTCACCCCAACTCCACCTCAATGCAAGAGATTGCAGGGTTGTTAAAAGAAAAACAGATAGATTGTCCTCCCAGTTGAATACCGATAAGTATATTTCAACAATAGTAGTTTTCCCCTACTTCCACAATTTATGAACTTCTACAGCTCTATTTATTCAGCCAATTTGACCTACCATCTATCTATTGTAAAAAAGAAGAGTTAACAGAAACCAGAAATTTGCTGAACAGAAGTTTAGCAAAGCTAAACTTCAAAGCCCTCTGTAAACAAAGCTATTACTGTATTTAACTTGCAGAAAGTCAACAGCAACTTTTAATCTATCTTAAGCCCATTGTAGTCATTATTTCTGATCCATTCAAGATCAAATATCCTGTTTTTTAATAATAAAACTTTTCTTTAAAATTGTAGCTGGGTTCTTTCTAAACAATTACATCTCAATCCCCAGAGTTATAGATCTCTGTTGTAAATATTTCTGCAGCACTTGTTCAGAAGGTTTTCCTGTGAATTGAAACACAGCATCTCTTGACAATTGACTTCTAATTTCATAAAATAGGACTGTTTCACAATCTCCATCATTTTCTTAAGAAGGACCAGATCATTACTCATTCTGTCATCTTTAAGTTTTTTTAATTCATGCCTCTTTCAGCCTCCAACGAACCTCCTATTCTCAAACAAAACTCCTTCTCCTTCACATCCGCCAACAAGTTCCAATCCACCCAATTGCAAATCTGATTTAGCTGCTGTTACCTGCATCTGGATGTCATCCTTGGGTTGATTTAAAACTAGTTTAATTCATTAAAATTTTTATTTAAATTTTCATTTATGTTTGTAAATTGGAAAGCATTTCTTTTTCAACTTATTACCTCAACTTATTACCATAATTGGGACCAGAATTTCTGTTGCTGAGTGATGTTATTGTTAAGTGATTACATGATAAGCCCAATTTTATGACCTTTTTACTGTGGTTTTAAAGTGAATCACATGATCATTAAGTGAATCTAGCTTTCCCAATTGACTTTGCTTGTCAGAAGCTGGCTGAGAAGGTAACATCATGATCATGTGATCCAAAAGGCTGCAACCATTGTGAATGAGTGAACTGCCAAACATCCAAATTGCAGTTATGTGATCCTGGGAGTAGTATGATGGTTTTAACTTTAAAACTTCAAGTCATTTTTTCAGAGTCTATCATAACTTTGATCCTTTGTTAAATGAATGGCCATAAATCAAGAATTATCTATATTGTATTTTTATTAATAGTGTTTAATGCTTTTCCCATTTTTATTTATACAAATTTTTGGATTCTTCTATTAAATTTATTTGCATTTATTTCGCTGTGGGGCTATTCTAGGTGGCTTACAATAAAAAAGAAAGAAATGAAAAGAGTATAAACCAAACGGAAGTAAAATAATAGAACAATAAAATGAACAATGAAAAAAGAGAATACTTCAGATCAGAGCAAGGGGGACAGGTGGAAACTGCCATCAGTCCAGCAGCCATCACCCACATTTGGCCCCCAGGTCAATCAGCAGAGCCAGATCTTCAGGCTCTTGCAAAAGGATAGGGTGGGGGGCAGATCTTACCCTAGAGCAACATGTCATGTGACATGTTGCAACGTATCACGACTTTTTCCCCATTGCTGGAGCTGGGGTGGGACCGGTTTCAGCATGATGCATCTGGCCCGCGAGACAGCAGTTTGACACCCCTGCCCTAGAGGATTGGATGTTCCAAAGGATAGCTGCGGCAGCAGAGAAGGCTCTTCTTCTGGATGCTGATAGTTGGCACTTTTTGACCAACAGGATACATAGTAGGCCCACTCTGCCAGCACAAATAGGATGAGCTTGTCCTAGTGGGACTGAATAGTTCTTCAGGTAGTCTGGACGTCTACCGTTAAGAGCTTAAAGTCGTAACCCACCCCTTGAACTGCATTAGGAGCAGACTGATAGCTAGTGAAATTTGCAGAGTAGAAGTGTAATATGGGCCATCCTAGGAGCTCCAAAGACTGCTCTTACTGCCACACTTTGCACCAGCACTTTGAAGTGAATTTCAAAGATAGTTCAGCATTAATCAAATGCTGTCTAATACCAATATTTTTTATATTTTTATATTTCCAGCATGCCAAATGAAATTACCTTGAAAAATATCTTAAATTGTTATAAGTACTGTTTATGACAACCCAAATGCCAAACTCTGATAAAAAGCTTCCAAAGAGATTATTATTTTGTGTTGTTACTTTTAAGTAAGAAATTGTTTGCTATAGGAAAGTAGTTCAGATAAACCCTGCTGAATCAGACCCCTGATTCCATAGAACTTTTTTAACTTTGTAATTTTCCTTTGTCAAATTTCTGCCTATTTAGTAATTCATCATCTCCAAATCATCAAGGAGAAGGAATTTCCCTAGCAGGTGGTGAGGTAAATGCCAATTTCTCACCTATCAAGAAACTTGTCATATTATTTGCAGACTTAACTATCTTGAAAAAATCATAACATTGTACACTGCTTTTTCTCCTTTCTTCCAGCAACTTCATCCATCAGCCACAATCCAGGAAACCCAGCAGTGGCTGCTTAAACATAGATTTTCCAGTTACACAAGGGTGTTTTCTAATTTCTCAGGTAGCTCAATATTTTACAAAGTTTGTTTTGTATTTTAAAGGTAATAATATGTTTCAATTCAATTTATTTGTATGATTATAGATTACATATATCCAAGGTACTTTACTATCTTTCTGATTTAATTGGTATTTTTATAGCAAACTATAAGTATGACTTATCACATCTAAAAGGGAGAATTTTTCATGTATCTGCAGAGTTGACTATGATCCAAAGACTTTTGCTAAGTACTTGCTACCTGATATATACTTCATCAGTTCAGTGGAGGTTAAAATTATTTTGGTTCTAAAGTATATCAATCTGTTATTCCATATTTCTTTGCCATTTTATTGCCAACCCATTTTGGATATAACCTCTGCTTGGATTTTCATCCTAAGGCTGAACAATCTTCAGCTTCACTGTGTCAGTCTACATCTGGCGAAGTGTCCTTTCTGTAAATAAGTAAATGGAAACAACCTCTTTTCAGTACTATCAATTTACTTGTAAAATTAGAGCTTAGGATTTGGTTATAAAAGTTAAGAGTTGAGTCACCACAAAGCATAAATTTTGCATTACTCTGATCCCACACCACACCACACCACATGCATTGTACCTTCAAGCAAATTGGTTGATAATATAGCCTTGTCTTTAAAATCCCTGTACTATACTGATCATTATTCTGTAGACAGCATCAGAAACCAAGAACAATGTCCTTTAATTTTACACAAGAAGATAAAAACAGTTGATATCCCAAAATAAAGAACTACAAAATAAGCAGCACAGAATATAACTGGAGAACTCATACTTTGAAAATTGAATAGAACTATTTAAGAACTAAATAGAAACACTGGATAACAGTCCCAACTTTTTAAAGTAGCACTTGAAAGTTATTTTTCATAGAGCATATATTGGTAAATGACCTCTCCCAATAGTCTCATAATTGAGGAGAAGACCCTAACCCTAACCCTTGCAGCACCCAATAATGAAATGATACTTAACCTGTCCCCAATCGGTATCACCAGCTGTAACCAGCTGCTCAGGAAGAACCATTCAGGAATAGTGCCTCCCACTTCCAATCCTTGTAATCAGTTCAGATAAATACCATAGTTGTGCTGAAGGCTGCCTAGAAGTCCAGCAGAACCAGGATAGCTGCATTGCTCTACACTGCTCCTGCCAATGGTCCTCAGTGAGAGTGATCAAAAAGTGTTCATTGCAATACCATAGCTGAATCTTGATTGAAAAGAATTCAACTAATCTGTTTCATGCAAAGGAAAGTTGGAGACCTGTTAATTGCCTAAAATAAGCCAGATCAGGTAGTCCAAATCTGTAAACAAGACTCCATAGGAAGACTAGGACTATAGTCTATTGATAAAGGTTATAATAACAGAACCTTGCAAGTCTGATTGTGTTTCTCTTCCCCTCCCCCAATCAGTAAGGACAAGTCAGCCTAAGTGTTTTTATATTATCTCCCTTCCCAGGATTTATGGAATGCTACTGTCCTGTTTGTTAATATATGAGTATCTGAATATTTGCTTCAGGGCTGTCCTTCTGTGTCTCTGTATTGGTAGAATGATGATTTCTTGCCTTCCTATGTCTTTGCATTGGTAGAAGTGATTTCTTGAAGAGTGACTCTAGTACAATCTGTTTCATAGTGGGAGGTGGATTCAATGCATTTATCAATGTGACCTTTCAGGCTAGCAACCAGGTAGGATAGAAATATAGTCCACCAATGCTGGAGCTAATAGAATAGAGTACCTTATCTCTACTCTTAGCATTAACAAGTTCAAACCAATATTAGATAAGACCTACAAGACCTCAGCTGGGTTTCTTCATCTAGCATCTAACTCTGAGCAAAATTATTTATCTTCCAAATATTTAGTTTACCCCTAGTATACAGTCTTCCAATTGTTTTACATGTTAGGCACCTAGACAGATAACCTTTATTGTTATTTTTTTACTGTGGGCACAATGGCACACATTAAAAATGAAATTTAGTTGCTTGCTCTCAAAGTGTACACATATATAACACACATTTAAACATACTATATGCAACTTATGTATAGAACTACACCCTTACATATAAGTAACGTATAAATATTAATCACTGTCTATCTTGAATATATAAGGGAAGGAGGAAGTTTAGAGTTCACAAGCTTAATACTATATGGAACAAAACTGACTAAATCTGGATGTTCTGCTTCGGATACCACGGAGCCTCCTCCCAGAAGGTAACAAGGAAAACAGGTTGTGAAGAGGATGTGTAGTGTCCCAGACCATCTTGCAGACCCTGCTCAAGAGAACCTGCTTGAGTATGGCTGTGCCTGCCTTTTCTGAAATCAACAATGATCTGTTTGGTTTTTCCAGTGTTTAACACTAGGCTGTTTTCCTTACACCATTTCAACAAACCCTCAACCATCTTGTGTTAAGCATCTAGTCACTGTAATACTGTCAAGTGGATAACCACAGGTACAGAGTAGAGGTTACAGCTTTCTTTTCCATTTCTATTGTCACAAAGTGCATTTCAATTACATTGACCACCAGGAGATACCTCATTAATGGTTCCATGCTCGTTGGGAATCATCAGTGGATAATCAGTTGTTATTTTGTAGTGCTCCCAATGAACGTTGCAAATGAAAATACAGTTGCAAAATACACACAGAATATACATATATACAGAATATTCCTCATATGTGTATATGTAAGTCATGCAAAATATGACAGCATAACATAACATCTGTATTTCTGCTCTGAAAGATTAAGGAAAGATAAGCAGTGTATATGATTGTGATCAAGAAGTTAGTTTGGAATTACCTCCTTGGTCAAATCTGTTTTTCTTATGTCAGCATTGCTCTAGGCATCTTTTCTGTTACTTCATCTTCCGGAACTCCTTGGTAAGACAAGAGGTCACGTGGATCAGTGACTAGAGAAGATTACTCTTAAACAATCTTGGCAAATGCTCTAACAATATTTTATTTCCAGCATCGGGGGTTCAAGAATTAGAAAGAAACAGGATCCATTAAACATCTGAAGCAAAGCAATTGGATAGATTCTTTTTCCCTGTGGAGGTTCATGGCATCAATTAAATCCATGCAAACATAGAGAATGATTTGGCTATGAGAAGGGACTTTTTTCATATAGGTATTGTTTGGCATGAAGCAAATAATAATAATATTCAGCTGTCTCCCTGGAGTCAGCCGAGTTTATCCATACAAAAGTAGGTAATTGTATATGGGTTTTATTTCAGCTAGGTGTTTTTGACACAAGGGTACTGAAACATCCACTGCTATGCAGTCTAAGCAAACCTAGTGTTAGCAGCTGTTACAGTTTTAAAAAACAATAAAAGAACTTAATATTACCTTTATTATGCCATTAATATAATCTTTATCATGTAATAATCATGTTTCTTATGTTTTCATTTTTTCTGCTTTTCTGAAGTGTTTTAAGACATCTTGTAAGTGTGCTCTGAATTACCCTAAAGAATGCAGACTGATTGTTAATTATTGATTTTAAATGAGTAGAGAGATTAAGTTTACATTAAATTAAGTTTGCTTAGAATTCCTTAAAGTCAAATGTCTATATCCTCAAAAATTACTAGTAACTTATTCAGAAATTTTGTTATTTATCTTTGAAAGACAGTTTTATTTTGTAAATTGATTTGTAGCCTTCTACTGTATATACATTCTGAATGTTTTTGTAGGTGCTGATTTATTGAAGTTGACAAGAGAAGATCTGGTACAAATCTGCGGTCCTGCTGATGGAATCCGGCTTTACAATGCACTTAAATCAAGGTAAATAGTTCATTGGTGTCAACTCTACCTATGTCAATTGTATAAAACAGTCTGTCTTAGACTAGAGGGTTTGGGAGATGCTAATTTAGTGTTTCGATCGGCATATGCCTGTGTGAGCTCATGCAAGAGTTGGAAGTACTGTGCTCAAAAGAAGAATGTTTTGTTGTACACCTTCAGGGCAGGCCACAGATTTGATGCAGGCACTGATGAGCTCAAAGGTAGACTGTAAGACTGATAGCAATGCAGTTGGGCAGTTCTGATTTCTTGAAGACGGATGGGTTTGTTGCCAAGAGACAAATCTTCTCATTTAGGTGAGCTATAACCAAACTAAAGTTCTTGAGGTCATGGCTACTAAATATTAACAATTGCAGATTTTTCTAATTGTGAAATAAACTGGCATAATAGATTTTGTTAACTTGCTGTTACTTCTACTATGATAGTTGTTTTACAAAAAATTACACCAAACATCAATGTCTTCTTTAATTTAAATGTAGAACTTTATTTACCAATATTGGGATAACTTCAGTGGTTCTGAAATTAGTTACTTGACTAAACAATATCTGATAAAACTTTAAGTAGTTCACAAAGAATAACAGTAAAGTAATATAATAAAATGAGCATACGTTCATGGTATTCTTTAAAAAGAATATTTATTTCTTTGCATTCTAGGTCTGTTAGGCCACGTCTAACAATCTATGTATGCCAAGAGCAGTCAAGAAGTATACGACTGGAAAGGCAACAAGACTCAGGCAACGGAGAAAAGAATGGTGCAATATTTGGTATGTAATTTCTCTTGACATCAAATATACTGTTCCTGTACCTTGAAATACTCTTTATGTGTCAATTACAGATCTTCTTGAGGCATCAAAACCAGCCTTTTTAAAGAATTTAAAAAATCTTTTAATTTGTTTTAGTGGAACAAATTATTTTGAATTATATACCATGCTGTTATAAATTGTTTGCAACAAAACTTGCATTTGAAAAAATACACAGAAGTGAGTTTGTAGCTGGAGATTGTTCATACTGGAATGCATAAATAGCTTTCAGTTTTCTAAAATACAATTCAGGTTTGCTGTCCTGAAAACAAATCATGCCAAATGTTACTGATTTATAAATTTATTAATGAGATTTAGATGAGACTTAAAGAAAGCTTCCAATCCATATAACCCTCTAATGAAAAATCTGAAAATACAGTCCCCTCAGGCTTGATTGACAAATAGCATTTATTTAAAAAAATGTATTGGTATTTCTAGAATTTCCTAATCTGATTATATTTTGTATCTTAATTTATCTTAGGTGAAAACTTTTCAGATTTATGAATAATAGAAAATTGAGGGAAATTATGGGTAACCCAAGGGAAAATACATGAACATGAGGCATTGGAAATACAGTTAGGGGAAGTAAATTAAATTTAGCAGAGACAAATATAAAGTATAATGAAGAGATTGAAAGGAGATGTATATGCTACAAGGCACAGTTAAGTATAGTGGTACCTAAAAGTTTATGAACTCTCTTCAATTTTCAATATTTCTGCATAAACATAACCTAAAATGTGATCTAACCTCTACACAAGCCTTATAACCAGATTTTAAAAATCCAGTGAAACAAATGAGTCAAAAACACCTCTTGTTCATTTCTTTGTTGAGGAAAATGATCCAAAGCGATATATTTTTATGTGATAAAAATAGGTGAACCTTTGCATTCAGTAATTGATGTTCCCTCATAGGCAGCAATAACTAACTAAATGTTGATCAAAAATTTTAATCAGAGGTGAACCTCCTTGTACAAATTGGTTCTTCAGGTCTTTCCACAACATTTCTAAAGGATACTATTTTGAGTTTGGCTATTCCAAAACATAAACTTTATTCTCCTTTAACTATTTTTGGTCATAAAATCTGTGTGTTTTGGGTTGTTCTCTTAGTGCATGAGCCACTTTCTCTTGAACTTCAATTCATGGGCAGATAACTTGACATTTCCCTGAATAATTTGATGGTACAATTCAGAATTCAGAATTCATCAATGATGGCAACTCACCCTGGTTCAACGGCAGCAAAGCAGGCTGAAATTATAATATTGTGACTATTTTTTAAACATCGGATAAGGTTCTTATCTGGATTGAAGTGTTTGCCTTTTTGCCAAACAACACTTTTCATTCAGTCCAAAACGTTGTTTTTTTTTAATCTCATCTGACCACAGAATATTCTTCTGATAGCCTTATCCACATGGCCTTTTATAAACTATAGGCAGGCATCAGTGTTCTGTTTGGAGAATATTGGCTTTATTTCTTGCAACCCTTCCATGCACGTATGGTTATTCAGTGTTTCCCTGATCGTGGTTTCATAAATACTGGTGTTTCTCAATGCAAGAAACCCTTTCATAGACACCAATGCAAGAGAGGCTTTTGGTTCCGTAAGCATTACCTGGGTCTTTGAGACCTACTGGAGTAATACATGCCTTATTCTTGATATGATCTTGGTTGATTGTCCACTCACTCTAAGGAGGGTAACAATAGTATTGCATTGCTTCCATTTATACACAATCTGCCTTTCAGTAGACTGGTAGAATTCAAATTCTTTGGAAAGAGTTTTGTAATAGCATGAACAACTGTTTTCCAGAGTTCCTCAGAAATCTTTGTTTGAGCTGTGACACACTTCCATATATCTATGTTGTAAAGATTAGATTTTGATAGTGAATCCCCAGAATTCTATTATTTAAATAAGGCAGGACTTTTCACTACCAAACCTGATTATCATCATCCTAGAGCTTAACATACTTTTGCCATACATAGATATGGTATCATTTTTCTCAATAAATCAATGAACAAGTATAATGTTTTTAACTCGGTTGTTTAGTTGGGTTCTCTTTATTTAGTTTTGGGAGTTGTATGGAGAACAGAACACACTTGAGGTCATAGTTACAAAGAAAAATTAAATTTTCAGAAAGATTCACAAACTTACATGCATCACATATTTATTTGTATAAATAAACATTTCAATACAATATTTCAATGACAAAAGGAGCATACTTTTTGGTTGCATTAATAAGTGCACTGCATTCAAATTTGGGGGAAAACATTTGGTCTAAAAACCCATAAAATCATATTCTGAGTGCTGTGGTAAGTTTTTCCATAATAATTAAAGAAATAAAGGGTGAGAAAGGTACACTTGTAATAATAGAAATGTTCTGGGAATAAAAATATTCTTCTGCATATTCTGTTGTTTCTTCCAGCCGTATTAATCTAACTACCCGTGAATGTGGAACATCACAAACTACTCCTTAGCCATCGGAATAACTTCAAAAAAATTCTCCAATCCATTTCCAGGCCAACAGGAACAGTATAGCCTGAGAAAGAGGAGGAATGTTAGATTTTAGATACACTTATTAAAGAAGCACATTATCAGAGATTCACAAATTTACTTCCAGATATAAGGATACGCAGCAATATATCTCCTTTCCTGAAGTACAGGATTGTTTTCTGTCTTAAAAACTCAATTTACAGGAAAGATTCTGCTGTCTGTAGATGTGGCATTTGAAGTCAGGATTGATTACATTTACATAGAGTAAGTTCGTACATATTTATGGAACAAGGGGATGCTTCCACTTAGAAAAGTACAGATTTATTTATTTTTACAAAAAGGCAAAGATCAATGCCAGTCCATTTTCTACTTTCATATATAGATGGCTTAACTATATTCTTTCAATGGCTATTATATTATTTTAGACTTTACTCTGTATTTTGAAATTTATTTGGAAAGAATATTTTGTTTCTTGGCTTAGTTCTATTTCAAGGATATTACGAAAGATAGTAGAAATCTTCATTAATGTTTGGGCCATCTTTCAGGTAGCTGGCATTCAGGCTTAAGGCTGTGCACAACTTAATTCAAAGAATTAGACTTCTACTTTAATTGAAGAGAAAGGAATATATGAAGTGGGTCGCCAGGCTGCATATTTCAAACATCAGTGTTACGGATCTATATATAAAAAAGGTTTTTAATGATCCATATATTAGTAACATGCTTCATAATACTGTAATCTTATAGAATAGAATACTAATAAATTAATAACAGAAAGAAATCAAGAGGTATTTGTTTTTGAAGAGCAGTATTAGGGGGTCTTTTAGAAGACCTTTTCTTAAGATATTTTTTATTTTAGTTTACCATGCAATCTACTTGGAAGAAATGGCTGCCTCGGAAGTCACTCGCAAGCTTGCTTTGGTGTTCAATATTCCTTTGCATCAAATTAATCAGGTTTACAGACAAGGTCCTACTGGTATCCATATTCTTGTCAGCGATCAGGTAAATTCCATTTTTCCTTCACTAACACACATTTTACATTTCAAAAATTCCAAAACAACAATCAGTTTGTGTTTTTTTTTTTCCTGGCATAGTTGCCACTGCTGTAGGCTTAAGAAAGATATTCGAATTAACAAATACAAATTCTAAATGAATGACAAGACAATCAGCAAACAAGCATACTGACCTCGTTTTATATATGAAATTTATTTTTCATATAATCTTACTTAATGAATATCTTGCTTTCCTTGAAATTCGAATGGGTCAAATTTTACAATACAAACAGTTCCTATTAGATTAATTTTCATTCTACCAATCAGGTAACAAGAATAAAGCAAAAATCTTTGGAAAATCTACTACTTAAAATGGTCAGAACAAAGGGATGAATAGTAATTCATTCTTTGAGTTAAAATTCTCAAACTATCACTTGCCTCATGAACATTCTTCTCTTTGTGAACACCAGTGTCCCACTTTTGATGCCATATTTCTGAACATTCCAGATACATAGTATATAATATGTGAACTTTATAAATAAACCAGATCCATATAATAACTATAACATTGCCACATTTTGAAAAATGCAATAAAATATTAAAACTCTGCATTATTAGAGATCACTGCGCTTTTGACTAAATCAGAAAATAATGTTAGTTCAAATGAGAGAAGAGCACTAGAGAAGAGCATTAGAGAACAGAAGTTGTTTGTGGGACTATTTGTTAACTTTTTCTGTAATGTATTAAACTGATCTGACTATTGTCAACAAGGAATAGTATTTATAATCTTCCTCCCTAGATGGTCCAAAACTTTGAAGATGAGACCTGCTTCCTCGTTACCACAATAAAAGGTATGATGGTAATCATGAAAACAGATAATCAAACATTATTACCTAGGTCAGGGGTAGGCAACCCAAAACACTCAAAGAGCCACTTGGACCTGTTTCCCACCAAAAACAAAACACTGGGAGCCGCAAAACCCCTTTGATATCTAAAATGAAGATAACACTGCATACATCCTTTTTTTACCTTTATAAAGGTAAAAAAGGATATATGCAGTGTTATCTTCATTTTAGATGTCTCTCTCTCTGTGTCTCTCTGTCCTTGGTCTGCCAGTCCCCTTCCCCCACTCTCCTCTCTCTCTCTCCCTCCCTCCCTCTCTCCCTCCCTCTCTTTCTCTCTCTCTCTCTCTCTCCCCCCCCCCCTCCGATCTTCTGCTCACCTGGCAAGCTGGCTTCAAGCTGTTCTCCAACAAGCTCAGGGGTAGGCAACCTCGGCTCTTTTATGACTCATGGACTTCAACTCCCAGAATTCCTGAGTCAGCATAGCTAGCTCCTGCCCTTCCTGCTTCCTGCAGAAACGCAACAAAGGGAGGAGCCCCGCCCCAAAAGCTTTTCAGCTTGTTGGAGAACACTCTCTTTTACACACACAGAGAGAGAGAGAGAGAGAGAAACACAGAGAGAAGCAGGGAAGCACAAGTGCCTCTCTCTGCCTCTGTCTCTCTGCAAATGTCAGAGGAGGCTGGGAGCCATATGGGAAGGCTCAAAGAACCGCATGCGGCTCCGGAGCTGCAGGTTGCCAACCTGTGATCTAGGTTATGTCTAGTAATAGATTTTGCATTTATGAGATTTTTAACTATACTACATTAATTGAGTTTTCTAGAATTTATTTTTAAGCCTCTAGCTTTACATATAATGTTATATCAGTTTAGCATGGCAATGAGTCTAGGTGAGCTCTAAACACAAGTGCAGCCACAGAAAGTTTGCTTTACTGTATCATTCAAGCATGTCAAGGTATTATTAATCTTATGTACACTTGTTAAACCTGTGAACTGTTTTATGATAACTTGTTTGCCTTGGCACTTCTAAAAATTAACAAGTTGGGGTTAGGAAAATAAATTAATCTTTGACCCATCTAAAATCAAAACAAAAGCTTTACCCTACCACACATAAGCCATAGCATTTATTAAGATTTTCCCTGGTATTTCCACATCCTATTAGTCTGAAATGCGAATCTTCTGAAATGGTTTACACGGAAACACATTTCTTAACTGAGTTTTTCCCAAGAATTGCTGAAAAGATGAACACTTTAGAAGATATTTTTCATTTGATAACATTTATATATATAACATTTGTTATAACCAAAATTAAATTATAGTCCATTCAGATAAACAGTTCTTCACACAGAAAAATGTACAGTGATTGTTTAAAAATTATTGGAATATCAATATTAGTCTCAGGTTACATTCATGACAGATACTGAAAGGAGGGAAATCATAGAGGGAACCAGAGTATCATCCTGAATTCCTAGTTATTATTTTTTAAATAAATTTACAAGTTTATATAAGTTCAATAAATTTAAAAGTTTATAATTTGTTTCTATAAAATGAAATGATAACTGTTCAATCATGAAGCCATATAGTAGTTTCAGAATTTTATGAGTCCATAGACTTGGAGAATAATTTTATGGAACCAAAAAAATTGTTTTAAAGTATGATTTCCTTCTTTTCATAGACATAGAATGTAAACATCATAATCTTTTAATTAAGACAATGCATTAATACTATGAATGTCATTTTGTTATTGCTCATTATTTTTCTTTGCAGCTGAAAATGGTGAAGGTTTCCACATAATTTTGAAGTGAAGTTGCCATATGTATGTCGGACTGATATTCCAATTGAAAAATCAAGAATGGCAGATAACACCAAATCTCTTCAGGGATCTGACTTCACCATATAGAATGTTTCATATTGAAAACACAAGTTAACCTTCTAATGAGCTGTTTAGTAAATGAACTTATCACTGCCATAGCCAATTGTCCTCATTAGAGGTAGAAATGACCCAACAGGCATGGAAAAAGGCAAAGTACATAAAAGTGTTTGCCCTTTCTTGACAAAAATAAAATAAAATAGGCACGCTATGGCCAGTAGATGCAGTATCTTGAAGCATTACTGTTTCCTCTTACACTGTATCCAGTTGAATGTAAACTAATACTGGGCATTTATCTTCCTGTGCCAGTTTGTCTATTACTTGCTTGTGCTTTTATGCTGCTTTTATTTTTTGATGTTAGCAGAGCACATAGTAATTTGTGTGGAGATAAGTAGTATGATAATAGCAATCAGGTTTGGGATCTTGAGCATAAAGCTATCAAAACAACATTCTCTGTATAGATTGTGTATAAAGTGTGAATGTAAGAAGTGCAAATGTCAGGGCTTCTTGTTAAAGTCCTAGCCACATGAAAATTAAGCATGCATCAAAATATATTATCATTAGTACCTGAGCGATTTGTAAAATAAGACCTCTGAGGTACAGCATTTTGCTTTTCAACAAATTCCTTGAGAAAATTTGTTTATGCATCATGTTTTTAGTTTCTTGAATGATACACTCCTGCAGTTATCTTTTTTTAAAAAAACCACTCTGTAAAAATAATAGTGAGTTGACCTTTAACAAAATATAGGTGCATTTTTCCATGTTCACTCCCAGGTCACAACTGCCCCCTTTTTTTCTCTCTCTCTCTCTCTGGCTGCACTGGAAAGACCAGTCAGTGCCTATTCCATACAACCAAATACTTGACTAGCAGTTGCACATCTTAATGAACTGTACAAATGCTTTCAAATGTTACTGAAGATCATAGCATTCTAGAAAAATATTTGACTCTTCTGGATTGTGTATTAATATATGTACTTGTTGGAAATTAAGACACAGAAGGTAGATTACTTCATGACTTGCTTTTTTAATCAACTTTAATCTTGAATGCTGTAGTGAAAGGGTGAAAAGTGCACCTCAAGTAAAGTTTTTGATTTCAATTCCATTTTTAATTATGCCTAAGTGAAGTGCTTGAACTATATAATTATTCTAAGAAAGTCCGTTAATTACTTGTATTTGGATGAATGTTCGTTCCCTTATTTCTCCATGACCTATACTATTCTGCACTGATAGAGGGAGCATAGTTTGTGAGCATAAACTGTTTTTGAGTTGTTCTTGATTATAAATTATTTTTGATTGTACTTGAGTGTCTTCAGTTCACTTGATGTGTCATGTTGACACATTTTTCAAATTTGTGGAGAATCTTCAAAAAATTTAAAAGCTGTACAGTAGTTTTGTTCATTTGGATTTAATTAATGGCACCAGCAAATTACTTTTTGTTTTTGGATATGATATATACATTTCAATTTCAGTAAAAACATTTTACAATAATGTTGTAAACATTTTTCCTTCACTTTTTGCAATATGTACTGAAAACATAAGTGCTGCTGAGATATATAATTTGGAGAAGTATGTCATCTCTTTCAGCTGGAACTAGAATGAGCACTGGCTTAAAAAAGAACTGTGCTTATACTCTGCTCAACTAAACTGGATGTGCTGATGATTTTTTTTTAAAAAAAATACTGTTTATATTGATTTACCACAATAAGTTTTAAAATGATTGAAGTTAAATCCAAATTTGAATGCCTTTATTCACTAGTAACCAGTACCAAGTTATTTAAATTAAATACCTGTTTAACAATTTCAGTTTCATGAACTCCCTTTAAATAGAATCAAACACATCAAAACAAGTTTGTTTGATAATGTAATATTTATCTTCATAGCTTAATTACTATAGACAAATCGCAAATAATACAGATAAGCTACTGCAAGATATTCTTCTATACAAATTACAAAAACAGTGTGTTCAATCATATTTTATTTGTATTTAAATCATACAGATACTGATTAGAATGCATTGCAAATCTGTTTTATCGTTTAACTGAATATTTGAAGAATGCTTTTTTCAAATTCAGTGTTGAAGAACTTTGAGATAGTGTATTCCATAACTTTCATTTGTCTATCATGCCGTTTTCTTTATTTAAAAAAAAGTTGCTTAAAAGTGATTTTTCCCCCAAATAAAACTTAACAAAACGTATTCCTTTATACAAGAAAAAAATTAAGGATATGGCAGAAAATTGGATTAGATTGAATACATTACTTAAACTGTGGCTTACTGGTATGTGGCAAATTGTATTTGCTCCTCCTCCTTCACAACTCCAAGGTGATTAGAAGCCTTTGTTTAACTGCAATTAATTGAAAGCAAAATCCAGTAAAGAAACCCTGTTAAGTCTAATGCTTTGTGAAATAATGGTTGGTTTTAATTGTTAAATTAGCCACAGTTTAACATTATCAGTGATTGAAAATGGAAGCAAACATGTGATCTCTTTCCAGTTACAAGGGTTGAATTAAAATAATGTCTTCATTGTTATAAATTGCCAATAGACCACAGTACAAGTGCATAGTAAGCTCTGACATATTCTTTAACGTCTATTTTTTTTCCATTTGAGAGAGCAGGAAGCTGCTATGAAAAAAGAACATGTTTCTCTTTGCAAAATGGAAGCCTACTGGGTTGATTTAAGCATATTATAATTGAATTTTAATTGCCAAAGGAATCTTCCCCCAGTTGAAGTGTTTTTTCTGGGATGATGGGGTTGATTTAAATATTCTCATTGTATGTTACAGTGAGAAGTGTTGAATCAAAGACAATTGATAGATCAATGAGAGAAATTGCTATCAAGTTTGGCATTTCACAAGAAAACAAATAGCATTATTGATAATCTTAATATTGGAAGATTTTTGCAAGATTGTTTCCTCATGTTGAAAGCGGAACTAAAAAGCTCAAGATTTAAAATTTGCCAGATATTGTTGAGGTGCTACAAAAATGAAGAGAATTTATTCACAATATTGTGACAGCCATTGAAATGCAAGTTGATCATTATCATTATCATTAAAATGTCAGTCCATGTATAATCCAATAAAGGAGTATCAAAATAAAAACAAAAATAAAAATCAGAATCCAGACCAGCAAGAAAACTCATGGCTATTGTTTTCTTTGCTGCACAGATAGTGTTACATAGATTTACTTGAACTTGGCACCACTCGGCTACATTGTAATACTCAAAACTTTGAAATAATAATCAGGATTTGGAGTCACAAGGAAAGAATTCAGTTTCTGAATTTTAGACTGGATCTGACCATCATAGCCATCTGCCATGTAATCCAGACTTGATGCCATATGACTTCCACATTTTCCAGAATTGAGCATAGGCAAATGTACTGTCAGGTTCTTGAACAGATGGTGACATTATTTTGTGATGGTTTTAAGAAGTATATTCTTGACAGAAATTCGTAATGAATGCTGATTATGTTGAGAAGTACAGTTACATTCAGAAAGTATTCAGACTCCCTTCACTGGTCAATTTTGTCATGCTGCAGCCGAATTCCACCATTATTGAAATTCATTTTTTTCTCATTAATCTACACTCATCCCCATCATTTACCTAGTGTGTATCCAATCCTACAAAGAATCAGTCATAAGTGCAAGAGGCTGATGCTTGTCTGTCTACAAGCAGGTATACAAATGAAAATAATTTTAGAAATGTATGTAAATTTATTTAAAAAAACACTAATATTGGTTGGCATAAGTATTCAGACTCTTCACTCAGTATTTTGTTGAAGGAACTTTTGCAGCAATTACAATCTTGAGTCTTTTTGGGTATGACACGACAAGCTTTGCACATCTGGATTGGGGGATTTTCTGCCTTGCAAATCTCCAGCTCAGTCAGGTTGGATGGCAACCACCGGTGGGTAGCCATTTTCAGGTCCTTTGAGAGATGTTCAATAGGGTTCAAGTCAGCTCTGGATGGGGCACTCTAGGCCAGGTACATTGGCGCCTGTCAGATGGTACGCAGCCCTGCCCAGCCAAGTGTAGTGGGGGGAGGGAATGAGCCAAAGCAATGCAGCACAGGATTTGCCCTGAGAGAGTCCTCGGGAGCACAGGGTGGCTGGGGCGAGGCAAAGGCTCCAGGATCAGCACTTCAGGCTTACCAGGAAGAAAAAGGAGGAGAGTGGAGACAGGCAGTTTTGGCAGGAGAGGGAGAGAAAAAAAGAGGCAGAAGAGAAAAGGCTTTTGTCAGAGAAGCGTGAGAGAGAGGAAAGGCTTTTGGAGAGGCATGTGCATGAGAAGGGAGGATTTTGGAGGAACGTATGTGAAAATGGAAAGGATTATTGAGAAATGTGTGTGAGAAAGAAGGCTTTTTGTGAGAAACTGTGAGAAGGAGAAGAAAGATCGGAATGAGAAAGGAGGGAAGGAGCCTAATCCTAACCGCCTCCACCAGAGACCCCCGGATCCCCCCCACAGGCGTCCCCTGACCTGGGTGACGTAGAGCTGGCCACAGCCCCACTCCCCCCCCCCCGACAGTAACCACAATGCTGATGCGGCCCTCAACGAAATCAAGTTTGACACTCCTGATATAAAAGGACAAGGGGGGGGGAGAGAGAAGAGGATATAAAAGGAGAGGTGAGAAAATTATTAAATGAGTTTTGCCCCATTTTACGACTTTTCTTGCCATATTTGTTAAGTGAATCACTGCAGTTGTTAAATTAGTAACAATTAAGTGAATCTGGTTTCCCCATTTAATTATTCCCAAAGCAATTCATCAGAATATAGTTTAACTTGATAAGACTAGTTCAAATTATTTTAAGATTATAGTGAGATTCTCACAAACCACTGAACCAACCACAAATTTTCCTATCTAATTAGACTAGCTTCTTGTGTGAATCCAGGCATTTGGTTGTTTGCTTAATTTGTCCTGGCTGTTCAATAAACTTTTGTTTATTCCCAATAATGAGATTAAGGCTCACTTGTATTTTGGCAGCATTATATGGTACTATTTAATTATCTACTATTTATAAAAAGTTCTCTTTTAACCATCATTTACCTAATGTGTATCCAATCCTACAAAGAATCAGTCATAAGTGCAAGAGGCTGATGCTTGTCTGTCTACAAGCAGGTATACAAATGAATAGCCATATCTGGTGGGAAAAAGCTCAGCGGGAAATGTTTATGGGGTGATATCAAGGCGGCCACAGCCCTGTTGTGATCCCTGCCTATACTTTAACTAGCGGCTACAGCCAGGTAAACGTTGATTATTCTTTGAGCTTAAAATGGTCAGGCAATGTCGCCTTGCTTTGGAGGGTGCCGCTTTGCCCCGAGACCACAGCCCTGAGAAAGTAGCATCCTTGTCCCGCTGCCTCTTTCCAGGCGTCTGCCTCTCCCCCAACCTCCATGAATAACCGAGGCGCGGGATAGCAGCCGCAGGAACTTTCCCACCTCCGACTCCTCAGTTGCGAGGGAGTGTTTCCAAACGAACGTGTTTGGTCTTGGCCAAGGCACCGTCGACTTGTAAGGAATCACCAGTTCTCTTTGCCCGAGGCGTGGGATTGGCCGTCTTCTCTCTCCTGCTTGCTTTGGTCGAGGGAGGCGCTGAGCCTTTTTGTCGCAGTTGTTTCTAGATGTCATGCAGGAAAAGTTGAAAGAAAAATCTATGTTGGTGTATGTCTGTGGCTAAAAGAGATGGATGGGGTAAACTCTTTTTTTAAAAAATGCTGGAATTTAGAATATTCACGTCATGAATGTTTGTAAGAAATCGTGACTGATTATTCTCCAAGGAAGTGTTCCTTTTCATTGTTTCATGTTTAGCATAACTGCAGCATTTTTTGCCAGACCTGTTTCTGCTTACAAGTCTATTTATTTGCATTCCACCCAATTGCTGTCTGAAAGCAGCTGTAAATGCCTATGTATGTATACGCAGATATTGTAGCAGAACAGTGTTTCTAAAACTTGACAACTTGAAGATATATGAAAGACCCTTTCTAAGTCAAAGTCTGCATGAAATGATTTTTTTTTAACAATTTCATCTAGCAATAAAAATGTATTTATTCTGGAATACATTTCTGCTCTTCATATTGCAGTCAAGAGGAAGAACTTAGATGAGAATCCTCCAGGGGAAAACAACTCAAGAAGCTTGGGAAATTCTGAAAAGCGAGATAATAGAAGCCCAGTCTAGCACAATACCAACAAAGAGAAAAAATAACAGCTCTCAAAAGAAACCAGCATGACTGCATAAAGAAATCTCTGATAAATCGAAAGATAAAAAGGACAAGTATAGAAAGTGGAAAGAGGGGCACATAACTAAATCAGAATATCAACAAATAGACAGAGCCTGCAAAGATGAAGTGAGGAAAGCTAAGGCTCATAATGAACTAAGGCTTGTGACCAAAGTCAAAACTAACAAAAAAAAGCTTTTTTCAACATGTAAAAAACAAGGAAAAAGTGAAGGAAATTAGTGGGTGAAAGTGGCAAGAAGGTGACAAGCAACAGGGAGAAAGCAGAACTATTTAACTCATTTTTTGCATCTGTCTTTACACAAAGGGAAAAAACAGACCAACCTATCAAAAATAGTGCCATAAAAAACAGTATAGAAACACAAGTTAAGACAGGCAAGAAAATGATAAGTGAGCACCTGTCCAGCCTAGACGAGTTCAAATCACCAGGACCAGAGGGATTACACCCCAAGGTTCTTAAGGAACTGGCAGATGTGATCTCAGAACCACTGAACTATATTTTTCAAAGATCTTGGAGCACTGGGGAATTACCAGAGGACTGGAAAAGAGCTGATGTAGTTCCCATCCTCAAAAAAGGAAAAAAAATGGATCCAGGAGATTACAGACCTATCAGCCTGACCTCAACACCTGGAAAAGATAATCAAACAACGAATCAGCAAACACCTAGAGGCAAACAAAATCACTACTAAAAGCCAACATGGGTTTGTCAAAAACAGATTATGCCAGACAAACCTTATTGCATTCTTTGACCAAGTGACAAAATTAGTGGATCAGAGGAATGCTGTGGATATAATTTACTTGGACTTCAGTAAGGCATTTGATAAAGTAGATCAAAACCTACTACTTGATAAGATAGAAAAATGCGGGTTAGACAGCACCACCACCAGATGGATTCGTAGCTGGCTGACTGGCAGTACTCAGCATGTGGTCTTCAATGGAACTGCATCTACATAGAGGGAAGTGTATAGTGGGGTGCCCCAGGGCTCTGTTCTAGGCCCAGTGCTCTTCAACATCTTCATCAACTATTTGGATGAGGGGATAGATGGGGAACTCATCAAATTTGCGTATGACACTAAGCTGGCAGGAATAGCCAACATTCCAGAAGAAAGGCTTAAGATACAGGAGGACCTGGACAGATTTGAATACTGGGTGCTATCTAACAAAATGAAATTCAATGGTGAAAAAAGTAAGGTTCTACATTTAGGCAAGAAAAACCAAATGTACAGGTATAGTACAGGGGGTACCTTGCTCAATAGTAGTAACTGTGAGAGGGATTTCGGAGTCCTAGTGGACAATCACTTAAATATGAGCCAGCAGTGTAAAGCAGCTGCCAAAAAAGCCAACTCAGTGCTGGGCTGCATTAACAGGGATAGAATCAAGATCGCATGAAGTATTAATAACACTTTACAATGCCTTGGTAAGGCCACACTTGGAATACTGCATCCAGTTTTGGTCACCACGATGTAAAAAAGATGCTCAGACTCTAGAAAGAGTACAGAGAAGAGCAACAAAGATGATTAGGGGACTGGAGGCTAAAACATATGAGGAACGGTTGCTGGAATTGGGTATGTCTAGTTTAACGAAGAGAAGGACGAGGGGGGACATGATAGCAGTGTTCCAATATCTCAGGGGCTGCCATAAAGAAGAGGGAGTCAAGCTATTCTCCAAAGCGCCTGAGGGCAGGACAAGAAGCAATGGATGGAAACTAACCAAGGAGAGAAGCAACTTAGAACTAAGGAGAAACTTTCTGACAGTTAGAACAATTAACCAATGGAACAACCTGCCTCCAGAACCAGTGAATGCTCCAACACTGGAAGTTTTTAAGAAGAGACTGGACAGCCATCTGTCC